CCAGTCCTCCCAATGTTGCTGAATAGCAAATCTCAGCATTTCCCATCATTGGCTGTGCTTGCTAGGACTACTAGGAGTATAATTTGAATAATATCTGGAGGGCTGTATGCTTCCCATTGCTGATCTAGAGTACAGTCTTAAGCAAGTTCAGGGACTAATATGAGCCTGGAATTGGTTCACCTTGTTAGACCATGTGCATGGTTCTGTCATGATTTGTTATGATATGACAATATGATAATACAATGATATAGCACTGTGATAATCTGATGAGATATTGGGGGGATTGATATGGGGAATGTCAAAATGTATTGAGTATTAATCAGTTGGGGGCTATGGTCATGGGAATGAATGGAGAGGCAAATGGTGACAGCATGAATATTTATGGTTTTATGACCTTGCTTTTCCTGTATGAGGATCTGGCTGGAATCAGAGAGATGCTTCCTCCCTTCCTGAAGGACTGAATGATAAACTTGGGAAGGAGAAAATAGGACATGAAATATTACTTTGATTAGGATCAAAAGGATTCAAGGAAGGGGGTTTGGATAGCTTGTATTCTTATGCTAGGATCCTGGGGAAGAACCCCAGTTCCAACACAGACCCTGGGTGGATGACTGCTGTCTCAATTCCTTAATACATATCTTTTTGTTTTTTCTATCACAATGAGATGTTTTCATGGTTATTGGGAGTTGGGTTGGCCGATCCTGATACACCTTCCCTCAAAAACTAAACAACACAGTATTACAGAGATAGCCACCACTCATGGGTGCATTAGCAGTAGGCTCTTGAACTAATATTGGACTTGATGGTTCTCATGATTTTTTCTAAGTCTATGGGTCTATGATTTGAAAGAACAGTTTAATGGAACAGTTATTGATAGAACTGTTCTATTACAGATCTTCCAAATTAATTGGAAAATCACTTCATTTCCCCTTGATAACTCACTCTCTTTCTTCATCGGCCACACATGCATACACACACACACATGCACAGAGTGTTTATTAGGGTAATGGAAGAAGAACATGGACAATTAAAAAACAACGATAAAATAATTGTAATCATGAAGCAGTGCAATTAGGTTAAAAGGGAAGCATGGGTTGAAAGCAAGGGATGGAACAAAACAGAACTCTGACTAATATCTGCACTAATTCTGATTTTAATTGATTTGGAAATTGGACAGAGAAAAGCAATAACAGGAAGGCTCACACTTTGGCATATATATATTCAAAGAGATTTTTTTGTGAACATGCCATTTGGGTGTCTCAATAGATTTCATTCCTGTAGCAAAGAAGGGGGAAATCTGCAACAGAAAGAAAAGTTTCACAGACCCCCAGGGGCATTTCCACTTGTTGAGGACCTTGCCTTAAGATGCTACAACATGAGCCAAAGGGAGGAAATGACAGAAACATCATTAGGTTATTGCTTTTATGTCCTCCTTGTGAATTTTCTATAAGAAGTTGCCTTGAGTTCCATTTTGGGTGTACGGGGGATGTAAATCTAGTAAATTAATAAAAAATAAGTAGGGATCTGGTTGGCCATTGTGGGAACAGAAGACTGGACTAGATAGATCTTTGGTCTGCTCTTGATGAGACTTTTTCTGTTTCATGTATTGGACAGTCCAGTTTTGATCACACACACTTGAGAACAAATCTCATTGAACCAAGTGGGACTGACATGTATAATGGTGGTCAGCAAGAAAATAGGCTTGCTCTGTTTGTGTTGCAACAGTGTTAAACCTTTTCAATTAATGTTCTCATCTCTCATGTGATGCCATTCACCTTTTTTCCCTGTTGTCTTCCCATAGTGACACAACTATCACAGCCTAGGGAAGAGAAGGTGAAGAGGTGACATGATAGCTCTGTTAAATATTTGAAGGGAGGTCATACTGAAGATGGAGGAAGTTTGTTTTCTGCAGCCCCATCACATTTCAAGGAAGTGGCGAAGCTGGTACCAACCATAGTACTATACTATATCCACCTAGCC